TAGATATTTTTATTAGAATTAAACTGAATACAGAATTGAGCCACCTTTAGGAAGTTAACTTCTAGATTATCAATCAGGAAACAGCAGCATGTTTCCGAGATGTCTTTTTTACAGCTATTGTAAGGGATGACAGGCCTATTATTTTCAAATCATTTTTCCAGAGCCTTCGATGGATCGAAGGTTTTTAGAAAATTTTGCACTCGATCTATTGCCAATACATGGAAATAGATCTTAATTTTCGCCTCTCCGCTGATGTATTCAAGAGCTTTCTACGTTTTTGCTATTATAAGATGTGTTTTGCACTAATATCGAAGATTCGTCTTGGGGAAGGAAAATTCAGCTTCCTATGACCATCCGGTCGTCGTCAAAACATTAGGGTTGTTTGCAGATACGTGTATATCAATTACTTTTGATTTACTCTAGACAATATCAACCTATATACTTTGTAAATTACTTCTGAATAATATGATCAGCTTATATATTCAATAACTCTTAATAATCATATGTCGCTTAAATTTAAAGTGGCTTTAATTAAGTTATTTATTTAGTTAATTCAGTTAGGTTAGAAGACCGGTATCCCAGAGAACTTATTTTGATTTGGCGTTAACTGTATAACTGCGGGGGGGGGGGGGGCGAATGGTTAGCACGCGCGCGCTGTATCATACGGCCTGTCATTGAGTCAACTGGCGTGGTTTCGAATCCCCGGCTGTACGTGACAAGGAGTCGGTCGCCTGTCCAACCTCGTGGGTTTTCTCCGGGTTCTCCGGTTTCCTCCCACTGCTAAAGATCCCCTACGTGCAAGCGAATTATTGAAATAAAAAGTAAACCATATGTTAGTCCCGAAATGAACTCGTTTGTGTCGAGTGGACGTTAAAACCCATAACTGCGGGGCCGACTGGGAAGAGATAATCCTTATATCTGGTGAATATTTATTATTTGAAATTTATAACGTTAAGCCCTGCAACGTTTAATAGCTCTCTCGATTGATGCAATTAGTTATATACAAAGTGCCAAATCTACAAGTGTCGTTTTAGTTTGTGGTCCAAGAACAAAATAAATATTAATTTAAGCTGCAGTGATTAGCAGACGTATAATATATCCCGACATTCTTTAGTCACCTTTCATCTTGATTTTCCGACGTGGTTTCCCCTTGTCAGTGGTGCAGAACGGAGGGCCTGACAAGGACAGTTGTCTAGTCCTTCGGATGAGACGAAATACCGAGGCCCCGTGTATACATTAGAATGCACGTAAAAGATCCCTTGGCAGTTGGAATTCGATATAAGAGTAGGCCGTAGCGCCGCTGCCCGGGCAAAATTTCCCTCATAGCACACTGTATGGCGTATGCCTGTCTTCTTTAGCCCAGTATAGGAGCAGAACAGTAGGACGTTAAACCCCATTTCATTTCATTTCATTTCTTTAGTCACCTGAGTATGTGATGTCCATAAAGTTTCTTGAATGCAGATATAAGGTTGGCTGTTAAATAGCAGTCTCGCTTTAGCTTGTGGATCAAGAAAAAATAAATACAAATTTAAGCTAATAATTTGGCACGTTACTACCTAGAAATGGGCTATTAATATAATGAGACTAGAACATTAAAGTTGGATTGGTGGGCGGTGGCATGTTTGTGCCATGGAGGGGGTTGGATGACCGAATGGTTAGCACGTGCGCTCTGTATCATAAGGTCTGTCATTGAGTCCACTGGCGTGGTTTCGATTCCCCGGTTGTACGTGACAAGGAGTAGGGTCGCCTGTCCAACCTCGCGAGTTTTCTCCGGGTCCTCCAGTTTCCTCCCACTGCTAAAGACCTCTACGCGCAAAGGAATTATTGAAATAAAACTGAACCATATGTTAGTCCCGAAATGACCTAGTTTGTGTCGAGTGGACGTTAAACCCCACGTCCCTCTCTCTCTATTTGTGCCATGGATTATAACTAAATATTTCGTTTTAATATTGTCTTGAAGCGAACGGATAAGGATACAGAATAAATAATTATCTTATAGTAAAATACGTATTGGATTAAGTATAACCGTATTAACAGTGGCCTATCAGTATGGCTATAACGGTATTATTTTATGGTTAAATTTGTATTGGATTGAGTATAGCCGAACTAATAACATTACAGTAAACTGTTAAAACAACTGTTAGTATTCCAGACATTTCCAATATACAGTCATAACTGTCAAGTTTCTACAACTCAAGCCCACATCTTTACCTCCGAAAAAAAACACGCTTCACACATCCCCCCATCCACCTTGCGTTTTAATTGCTTGCTAGTAAATAGTTTAGTCAGATAAGATCTTTTGTCTATATATTGTTTAGAGACTGGTTCGTATCAAGCATCACTATCTGAAGTTTGAACAGGGTGACTCATATAGAAATATATACACGTGGTATATAATATGTACAGGCGTAGTGCGGTAACACAAACCACAGTACTTCAGTTAAAGGGGCAACAAAGTATCAACTTTTGATGTTCAATAAATGAAACAGTATAAGATTTGACTGATGGAATCTTTATTTGTTAGGCATCAGAGCCACCATCATGGACCAGACAAAATATGCTTATCCTTACCGGACTCCCAGTACACGAAGGAATTCATTACTTTGATGTATACCTTTTACTACTGCAAGCAACCCGAGTTTTGGCAAAATCCAGCATGTTAATGCTATCTTTTTATATCCTCAATTGTCACTAATAATTACTGGAATCAAACAATTACCTTGCCCGTCTTTATTAGCCCAGTCGGTCCAGAAAAGTAGGACGTTAAACTCTACTTCATTTCTTTCAATTGGTTATTTAGTAAGAACCACCCCTCCCTCCCTGAAACACACATGCCAGTGCCACCTTCGTTAAAATCCTTTGGTGGCTCCTTTTTAGCCCGACTTAATCAAGGCTGGGAGATTATCTACCGTTGATATATTGATTTCTCTCTTAATAAAATGTTTAATAATCAATCTGAGTATATTTTGGTGGGAATTAAGTATGTATAATATGTACGTACACATGCGCCGTAATTTTTTACGAAAACTACCGATTCTGGACCCTGGTTTACAAAGCCTTTTTAAATTCAAATTTCATTGGCTTTTGGCTAGCTAGCATTGGAAGGAAAATATTTAACTGAAAGCAGTATTAATATTTTACTTTTGAAACACATGTGCTGCCTCTAGACATATTGGAATGTAAGGCATAAGATATAGGTTACATATTGTTTTATCTATTGTATTTAACGTGTAAACGGAATTACATATTATGTTCGGATCCATAGCCTCATACCCTTCAATGTCAATGGTGGCGGGGGCAAGAGCGTCTTTTTACACTCAAGCAAAATTTTGTAAATTTTCTATGATATGAAGTGTAGAATATGCATCTCTATAACATATCTTTCCGTGTCGGCCCATTTTTGCAATATTATGGGTAATATTGTCGAAAAAGGCTCCTGTCGGTTATAAGTTGGATTGGTTATATTAGTTTCTATTGATTTTACGTGACCATCTTTACTTGTCTGAGGGGTCATTTTTAGTTAAATATTATGAACATTGCATTCATAAACTATTTATGGAAAATTCTACTTTGTACATTATACCCCGCTTTAACTATATGAACCACCTACGCCAAGCATGTAAGTCAATGCCCGAATATTTCATTCTCAGTTCAAAATTAACGAGAGCGAACTTGAGACTTGTTTAGGTACTAACCTTTTTGTTAATATGTTGTAAAGTGTGAATAGACAGACATATCGGCTTTTAAACAATTCAAGATGTGCGCCGTTAATCAAATACAGACGAACAGTGCTAGTTCTAATTTTTAAACCGTTTGATATCCAAGTTAATTAATTTCATTTCTAGACACAGGTAATGAATGTAACGGTATACAAATTAAATGAGCCTCATTTAAGTAAACATTGGCAATTTGGATACCAAAATATGCATTTGTTTTTTCTGTGGTAATGTAGCAGAAACAAGTTTCCATCTGTTTAAGAAAGTTTTAGGACTGTGTGATAGGTAACTGCCGCTTGGTCTAAACTCTTTTTATTTTGATCTAGTGTTAACTTTGTATGGCCCACACAGCATAAGAATACAACACCAGCATCAAAATTGACATACTTTTATTGGAAATAACCAACCGATAAATACTTTTGTGGGAAAGTATCTTTAAAAAAAAACATTTTTGCTCAAGTCAAAGCATCTGTTAGCTGGCCCGTCAGTTACACGCCCGATCCTTTGCTACGACCGGGCAAAGGAATCTTTTTAGCTCTAGCTTCATAAATCAAAACCTGGCAGAAGATGTTAATTCAAACCCCCATCTTCAATAATTCTAGACCAAAAAGCCAACACAAGTCTTCAATTCTAGACCAAAAAGCCAACATAAACGCCATCCAAAAGGGGGGCAGAGTGAATTGATATAAATAAACGCAATACTAGTCTTGGTCCATTTGCTGTTCGCAAATGTCTTTCATATTTCGTTTTACTTGTGCTTTTTGTGGTGTATCCAATATAAAATCATTTTCGCTATTTCACACGAGTTTTCTCTTTTTATGTGGCGGGTATTTGACTGCCTCATACACTTTTATTATTTTATTCCCGAATGGCCTTTTTCGACCTTTGTAGGGGAGGTAGAAACGATATGCCAAAACAAATCGTAAAACCCAGGGATTCATTTTTTAAATTTCCAGATAGTAGCTGCTTATTTCGCAGGCCAGAATTTGTAATGTACCTAATGATGTAGGCTACCAAATAATGGCTCGCGGTGAACGATTGTCATTGTCCTTTTAACGATTGATTAGTTTCTGAACACAAAAATATAACTTAAGAACAGACACAGAGGAGAGCACCGTTTACTTTTAACGTAACGACACCCATAAAAGTAGCCGGCTCAAAATCTCTTAGTTTCAACACAAAGAGTAGCTGGTCCAATGTCCACTGTTAGTGGTAAAACTGCTGACGTCTATACATGATTCGTGTATAATATTACTTTATAAATCTTCTATTTTCTATTTTCAGGATACGGCCACGTTGCTCCGAAAACACCGGAAGGGAGAATAGTTACTATTGGTTACGCAGTGTTAGGTATTCCATTGACGTTATTATGTTTAACGAATATCGGTGACGTCATGGCCACCGGGTTTAGACTACTTTATGGCAAAGTGTGTTGTGGTGTGTGTTGTAAACTGTTTAGTCCAAAACGGCGGAGGATTCCGGATCCGGAGAAAGGATTATCTCGTGTGGTGGACACGGGCGAGCAAGAAGCCGGGAAACCTAAGGAAGTTATTCATGTTCCTACGTCATTGTGTATTCTTCTCATTGCTGGATATATATTTTCTGGTGCTTTATTATTTTCCCTATGGGAACAGTGGGATTATTTAACAGGATCTTATTTCTGTTTCATTACTCTCAGTACTATCGGATTCGGGGACATAGTTCCCGGAACAGACTTACAAGCGTGGGCCGGAGAGGAAAAATTGGTGCTATGTGCCTTATATTTAGTGTTCGGATTATCACTGATTGCCATGTGCTTTAATTTAGTACAAGAAGACGTTAAGAATAAATGCCGGTGGTTAGGTATGAAAATGGGAATAATCGATAAACCGGAAGCCGGAGTATTAGAATAGTGACTCATTGTGTCCTCTGCACATCATGATAATAATATGTGCCGTTTTGTAATCCTATGACCAATCAAAATCTAGATGACGTATTCACTTAATAAAATGAAATTTATTTTGAAAATTCATTGTATTAAAGACTAATGAACATCAACGAACTTGCACATAAACAATTAAGAAGTTTAGCATTTCAATTCATTACACACAATTCATTACAAAGCACGGTTAGATTCAAAGCATCCACAATTTCACAATAAGGAGTGAACATGTTTTATATATATATATGAAATATATCTTAGTTTATCTATTCTTATTTGTATGTGTGAAAGGATTTTTTTTTTATACACAAAAAATAAAAAATGCTGTGTGTTGGTGAACATAGTGAATTATAAAGATGGATATCTATTTCTCATTTGTAATGTAAACATAGTTATTACATACAGGGATATCTCTGTTTCTCAAGCGTAATGTGCCTTATTTAATATCGATTAACATGTCCATTGTTATTGTTATTTAAGTCATTAATTTATATATTAGTTTCATAATTGTATATATAATACAAATAAACCCGATCATTGTTTTATTTAATTTAAGATAATTTTAATATTCGTTTCGTTTGTTTTGATCCCGATCGCGTTAATTCCAGAATTTGTGCATTTCCTGAAGCCAAGTATCATTATTGCACGATGTTGTTTTTACATTTGCAATATATTTATGTTGTTCACATTATTGTTTATTGTTCTATTATTACTACCGATCAACAACTATGATGGTACATGCCAAGGGAAAGGTGTTTCGCATTGTCAAAAACCTAAACAGTAAATATCAGACGGGAACTGGGGGTGGACATAACCCTGCGTTAGAACAAGATGATATTTTACTGATGGAAATGTCATCCAGCTTATCGGTGAGAGTGTCAAGACGTTATGGTTTAGTTAGAATTCTTTTATTCTAAAGAAGTTCACTAAACTTTCATGCATAAGTTATATAAGGCAAAAAAACCCAAAAAAAAACGGTGGGTTCGTTGTTCCCCAATTGCCAAAACGGCCAATTGTCAAAAATGAACCTTTTGGATCGAGATTTAAGGCTTCGATGAAAATAAATATTTGTAGACCTACGTCCTGATTTACGGGAATGAAATAAAATGTATTCGATTTGCTTATTTAAGCATATATTCCTGTCCTAATCCTAATATACACGAATGTACTACTACTTTAAAAAAGTAAAAAATTCGTGTTTGATCCCCCGCCATTTCCTGTCTGACGGATGAGCACAAGCCTATATATATGGAATTCTAGTGTAGGAGATTTGCATAGAAAATATGCAACTCAAGATCACTTCAGGCAGAAGGCAACACATTTTACGTGAAAATTTGTGAAATTACGCGAAACTTTCTTATTCCAAGAGTTTAGCCAAAATGTAATACTAATAAGTAATAGATAAGCCTAAAAACAGCAAAGTCTATCTAAACAATCACAGTGATAGGCTACCCCCCCCCCCCCCGCAAAAAAAAACAAACAAAAAACAAAAAAAAACATAATAAAACCAGGAATATATTTTATAAACATTTGTATTGCATAAGGGTAAATATTCACCAACTACGTTTCTCAAGAATATGAAATTATAACAGGGCACAATAATTAGACAAAAGAAAAATTCAAAGTCAAAAAACTTGAAATTTATTCTTGAGGTAGACTTTGGAAAATTATATGTACTCTCACGCAATAAAAGCGATGATAAAAGTATTGCTGATTTTATAACATACGAGGACGCATATTTCTGATTTTTAACAAAGCCTTCAATCCACCGACAAAAAGCAAATACCTTTTGTATGACGTTACACGACCGACCCTATTTTTTTAGCCCACATCGCCGACCCTAAACCTTTTTTTTTTTGTCAAATTTCCCCAGGTCCTATCAATTGATTTTGGAGTGGATTTCTGCAGACATTGTAATGCCGGTGTGTACAACAGAACTTTAATGCTAGGAAATAAATAGTAAACCCTTTGTGGTACTTAAAATGGCACCATGGCAAAAGCTTTGAAATACAATTGTCGAAATAGGTTCTTAAAATGTTTATTTATTAGTTCAATTTGATCTATCGGATCTTACCCCGCAACCCCGACAAATAAAAAAATGTGATTTTCCGATCGATCGACCCTATTTTTTGTAGACAGTAAATTCGTAAATACGGTTACTTTTTGATTTGGCCTAACAACTATTCTCCCATATTCAGGGATAGTAAGTCGGCTGCCCCCCCCCGTGTTAATGCAATGCGTGTCTGCCACGGAGGATTTAATCCTAAAACGAGTTAGCTTCTATTAGCCCCCTATTTAGCATCTGATGCCGATACATCCATCCACCCTTTAGATGGTATGAACTTTGTTTTCTATGAGCATAAAACAAACCTAAGGAAACAAAATAAATATTCTTCTGGGAAATCGACATGTATTTTTGTTTGGGTATACAATTTATCGGGGTTGGCAAGGAATAATGCTACTTAGTTGTTAGGTTTTACTAAAAGTATTGGTTCACTCCTGTACAAATTAGTGCACGTAAAAGAACCCGTGTAAAAATTGCACATGTGACCATATAAATAAAATAACCGTATCACAATGGCCGAAGTATTGTGTTGACGAGACGTTAAATCTCATTCCTATCCCCGTCTTCATTAGCCCAGTCAGTGTAGAAAACCCCATTTCATTTCCGTTCCTATCCTGTAAAATTATGGCTTTAAAAATATTAATTCGGTTTCACAAGAAGATTCAAGTCTAGAACGGAGTGAGCTAAAAGAACAGAAACTCTTTGATTTAGGTCGACTGTTATTTTCATTATCGACGACGTAATAGTTATAACGAAGAACGATTTTTATTTCAAACCACAAATCAAAACATAAAATTCAGGCATATCAATTTTTTTCTGGTGCCCATAATTTTACCGATGGACGAGTAAATGCAAGGTTACATTTTGTAATCATCTATTAGCCTAGACTTTATATAAGTATATCTCCGGCCCACTTGATGTAAAATTTTAGTTCATGTGACCCCTGAATCGAAATAAGTTTGACCCCCCCCCCCCAGGCCTAGAGTATTAGAAAGATGGGAGATATAAGTAAGGAAGCTGCGTGAACTTAGGAGCTGCATTTCGCCTTCAGTTTATGTTCTGTTCCAGGAATGTGCGTGTCAAGTGATCCTGTAGCAGTGCTTCCCACATAAAAAAACCTACACTCAAGAAGATTAATTATCTGCGATATCACTAATGTGAAAGCGAACTTTAAAGAAACAGGCCAGAGCAGACCAGACCAGATCAGATCAGATCAGATTAATCAAATACATGATAATACTATCAGTTTTCTACCACGGTTGCTTCAGTTATTCAAAGGGAGCCAACTACGTTATGCGCTAGAGCAAGAGTTGTTTTTCCCGGCAAGACATGCTGCCATCAACGACATTGTTCCAAGAACTTCCCGGGGTTCAGTGCAGTGAATCTGAATCGAGATTCTTCTTTCAGAAGCAGTAGTCAGAAAAGAATGAATACACAGAACTGTCCAGTTGTGTTAATTTCTATTGCTCTTGAAAATTCCAAGCACCAAAAGGATCATTAAAGACAACCGATTCAAACTACCGGGGACAATGGCTGACAGTGTCAACAGATTATGCATTTAAATATATAATTTATTTTTCCAGGTCATTAGAAATATCATTTCGTTTATTCAATTAAATTTTCAATTTATTACAAGGATCAGTGTTTCGCTTATTTATTTTCATTTTATCTGTTTAATTCAATGAATTTTTAATTCAATGAATTTTATCTGTTTAATTCAATGAATTTTATCTGTTTAATTCAATGAATTTTATCTGTTTAATTCAATGAATTTTATCTGTTTAATTCAATGATTTTTATCTGTTTAATTCAATGAATTTTATTAAATAAATTTTATCTGTTTAATAAAATAAATTTTATCTGTTTAATAGAATAAATTTATCTGTTTAATTAAATGAATTCTGTCTTGTTAATTAAATATAGAAATTCACCAAAAAAAAGAGAAACGACCTTTCATCAACCCTTTGACTAAATGACGGAAAATTAAACCCTACTAAGTAAATCGAATATATTCGCATACAATTAAAGAACATCTATACAATTAAAGAACAAAATGTTCCTTTCATCAATATAAAGAATATTACAACTGTATTAAATTTTAAAGTCCTGATGCGCCATTGGAATTTTTGCTAAAATATCTATATAATTCTCCCGGCCTATCAATAAATTGCCCCGTCAACAAAATGGCGGCGGGCTTATTGCACAGCGATCAGCATAGATCGATGAAATTTAAATTCCACATATCTTTGTAAATACTGAACAGAATTGAACCCAGTTTTGGGCTGATGATATTCCTGTTACAGATTCCTCTTTCACAATATTGTAGTTTGCAAATGATTCATAGGCGGTAAGATGGCGCATCGGGACTTTGGTCATACCTTTATAATTCACACGTGATATTAATATATACATAACTTCCAAAAATCTTTTCACTAAAAGATACGATATATTCTGGAGCTGTTTGTTAAGTCAGTACTCCAAATTTGGAGCCTAACATGTATGATCTTGGGTACACAGCCATGCCATTTCCCACTGCACTCAAACATTTCACGTAGCACTCCCAACTCATATGCAACGTAAACAGTATTAGTCAACATTACGGCAATTCTGTTACGTCTATTCGCGGCACAATGATTTTCTTGAAGGCATCGTCATCATCTTCCGTATCCAAAGAAATATAACTCGAAGTACTGTGTCTTTTATCGTACGAACATTCAAACCTGAAGGGTTCATCAACCGATAATAAGTCATTATTGACGATATCTGATCGATAATCGATACTGTTTAACGAGATCGAAGAGTTATTTGTAGTTATCGATGGTTTCCGTAATAATCCGGAATACATGCTATCTTCATATTTATCTGAGATACCCAAAGATTTTACAGATGGCGACCTGGTTCTCAATCCATCGTCGCATGTCTTCTGGTGAAACCTGAAAAAACGTTCAATCGAATTCAAATATCAGTAATTGAGGTATGATAGAGAAGTGTATAAAATGAAATAACACATGATATTCAATATGTGTCGTCAGTACTGTACACTTTGCAGAAAAAATTCATCTATGGTAGCTATAAAGGCAAAATCCAGGAAGACACCTTACTTGCGAAAATGGGATTTTGTTAAATTTTAGACATGCCAGGACACTATCAATTACTACAAGACTAAAATGCAAAACAGATGACTCACACCCTAGTCATTTTTGGAGCGCCAGTGAAAAACGACACAAAAGCACCACGCAAAAAAAAAATAGCTACCCCTTTGCTATATTTAGCAATTTGTTTTGTATTGTATCCTTTTTTAAAGTTAAAAGTGACTTTCTACCATTTGTTCTAACAACTTGGGTTTTATTTAGCCGCCGTTAAAAACTTATCATTACCAATAATGACAACTTTGATTACATTACCTGCATATATTAATCTCCCGTCAACAGGCAAAACCTAGTAACTCACTTTTTTTTTTTATCAAAATTGAGTTAGGACCAAATTTGTAGTTACTAGGGTATGTGATTCCTGTTGTTGTACCAGATATTCCAATCTTTTGATTTTGTAAGCAGTTACACCCATGACACAACCTAGCAACTTCCATTATTTGCCTAGTCTACCACAGCAAAACCTAGTAGTTTTTGCCTTTTGACGGGACAATATCATATTAAATATTATATACTTTATAACTTTTTGTTTTATTCTACCTGATATTTTATATACTTTATAACCTTTTGTTGTATATAGTCTACCTGATTTTTTTTATAATCCATTGCCATGGTGATCTATTATTTCACGTATGTATATATGTAGGGCTAATGTTTTACATTATAACCTTTGCTGACGCTCAAGAAAGAGAAGACAGATAGCTTATGATTTGATATATTTTTCATTTATTTATGTTTGTATGCATTTATATTTACCTTAACATGGCCTCTGGTAGGGCTTTATGGTAGGATTTCTTACCAACTAACCAAAATGTTTTCTGGACGCCTTTTCCCTTAAAACAGATAATTAATTTAAATAACAAGCTATGAAAATATGAACGTTATCACTGTCTGAAAATAACGTGACGTCGTTTGTTAAATAAAACGTAAATAAATTCCTTGCCAAAGATATGGCAGTAAATTTAAACATTACGTGACCACAATTGCTTGTAAGGAATATGGCAGTAAATTTTAAACCAGGAAAATACTGTAAAAAGAAGTGTAATTCCTTTCACAAATATTTTTTTCGGTCGCTTTCTTGTTTGCAAAATCTCTTAAATAAAAGACAAAATCATTGCTCCTATAAAACTAAGTACAATCGAATTATGGACTAGAAACTGACCATGTTATTAGATGAAATTCAAAATTATAATTCACCACATCTATGCAGAATTGTTCAATAAAGAAGCATGCCAATTTTCATGTGGATCAATCTTGAATTGACGGAGCCTTAGGCTTTTTCGAAGAGTGTCACCCCAAGAACAAGAAGAACAAGCGGAGTGGCGGTTAACGACCAGTTCCTGACTCCTAAAAATGGATATTCAACCATAGACCTTGGATCAACATTATCTCATTTACTTTGTAAAATAAACATTGAAATGCATGAAACGCAATTCCTTCAACATTTTAACAAATGTATATCCAAATGTCTCGTGGCTCTTTATTTAAATAAGCATTATGTTAGGTTAGATAAAGAGCTCACAGTTCCCGCGATACTAGTTAAAAAATAGATAATGAAAAAGGAATATGTTAAAAATATATGTCAAATTACTTCAACCTGACCTGAGTTATCGGTGTAGCCTTGATTTTCCATTTTTACGTTAAATCACTAACCACAAATCGTATTCAAATCTGTTGAAATCCTATGGCATCGAGAGTTGATTATTGTCTTGGTCAGTTAATCAAAGTCTAATTAATAAATTTATATAACATTTAAGGCCTAAAGAAAGACCCGTAATAAGTAGATTTAACTTTTTCATAATGTATGTTTAAAGACGTCCTTTCAAATTGTTTGGATCGACATTGTCATGGATTTCTGTATTCTAAACCAGGATGTCATTTGTACGAAACCCTTCACTCCTACATTTATGCATAAGTAACTTACCTTAACGTGAACATTGCCTCTTTGTACAGTTAAAAACCCTTCATCTAAATCTGTCAATGCTTCGTTCATATCAATACTCATGTGTATATGTAGCGCTAGAAGAAAATACAGTATTTATCAGTATGTGGAATTTGAAGACGTTTCAATCATCTATGCCGAATATAATTTGATGGCACAAGTGACCTGTAGTAAATCTAAATCGCTTTGCTAAGAGTGTGAAAATTACGAAATATATTTATTTTCTTAAGAGCTGCCAAAAAATTGCATGGTGTTGGCTCTATCTGAATATGTGACGGGCCATTTGATGATTTAGCACAGCGCTTCAATATTACCAGTTGACAAATACGCATACTCTCCGGGGTGCTCATTTTATAAATCTGATTCCAGTTACAAATTATTATGGTTTGGTTAAAAGACAGGTTAACCAAATCAATCGGGATTAGCCTAGAGCTCTAAATATTTTAACGTAAAACTTTATAACGACAATCCGGGCTACATTGTGTTACAACCACCGAAATTTCTTCTGGGCAATTTTACCAGAGATTAACAGAATATTGCCGAAAAAAACTAGTTGTGTGACAAACGAGGTTATCGAAAATGGCTTCAAACGTGAACATGGTGTCATGTAGAATATGTTAAACATCTGATTCTTTGTTCCACAATAACAATATTTTAACCACCTTTTAATATATTTAATCAACTGTTCGAACATTCAGGAAAGACACACGATCAACGGATTGTTACGTATGTATCAGTTATTAACAAACTGAACAGAATCAGATAAAAATAGACACACTCCATCAAACATCCTTTCGGCTCCATGTGCAGCAATGGCTAGACAAGAGAGTGGTTTCTCGGGCCATTGCTTGGGAAAATAACACGTACGATGGTTTATCAAAAACACTTTATATTTGGTGATCATAAGCGCTTGATGAAATAAATAAATATTTTGTTAAAATGATATACTTTGGTCACGCCATGAAATGTTTTCAAACAATAAATAGGGCCTAAAAACAATTTCCAAACAAATTTATTTACCTTTGCCCATTGATTCCATTCTAGACGCCATATTGACCGTATCACCAAATAAACAATATCTAGGCATGATCTGTCCAACTACACCAGCTGCGCACGATCCTGTATGTAGTCCAACGCGTAGTAATAATCGTTCTTCGGGTAAGTGACGGATCCGGAAGTTGTGCACTGCACTAATTAAATCCAGCGCCATATTGGCTATTTCTCCTGAATGACGTTTACCATTGCGATTGGGAACACCACTAACACACATGTAAGCATCGCCGATTGTCTCAACCTGTAATCATAAACGTCTTATGTACCTCTTTTATGTAGGTCAAGTAAAGTATTGAATATGGTTGATCAGATGTTTTATTTTGATTAGCCATGGGTATATTATATTGGTATATAATATGGATATATACTCTTCAAAACAAGTAGGGGAGAATGAAAGGCAAATACCTATGCAGGTTGTGATATGATAAATAGTCATAGACACTTGACATGCTTTGCGAGTATGTTCACAGATGAAGAAATTATCGCCCCAACAGAGCCACTGAGCTGCACATGCGACACGCAGTAGCGTCATACACGTGGGAGGGGTTCATTGTCAAATTTGACACTTCAAGGAAGGGTTGATGAAAACTGCCGCGTGCTGGTTTATCTATCCATGTTTGCTTTCCTATCGGTTCTTGCATAATATTTACTGTTTAGCGTATCTTTGCTTTGGTGTGTTCGTTTAATTTGATCGGGAGACGTATTCGTCGACGTCAACTTCAACCGACAACACTGCAAGAATTGGCCGTGACACTGCAAGAGGAGTGGGTCAGATTGCCCCAAACATGAATGGACGGTTGATTAGGAGCATGCCACGACAAACTGCTGAATGTCTGAGGATTGGTGGAGCAATTACTCATTATTAAGACAAAAATCAAAAAGTCCATTTTCACTTTTGACGGTGTATCTCTTTGCGAGTGAAATATGTCCATCAGATAAACCGCCCATATGAACTGTTTATGTTCATGTGTAGGCAACTGGCCTGTTTTTAACATACACTGGTTACCTCTAATAAAACAACAGCGCATTTCCACAGTTTTGTATTGTTTCTGAATATCCCCAACTTATATTATAAGATATTATATGGTTGTTTTCTTTCATTTCACAAGATTGAGCAGAATTCGTTTTCTTTAAATAATTTTAGTTCTGTAATTTGGGTCTACAGTGGAGCATAAAATAGATTATATATCAACATAGAAGTAACCTAAATATATCCACGACGACAGGTTGTCAGTCAACAAGAATAATCAACAAATGATGTGCAATGATATTATATTTGTGGCACAAATCAAAGTTAGCTACTACTACAACTACAATCATGGCTTTCTAGGCTGGGATAAACCATACGACATAATACGAAATGCATGTCTTTATTGGGTAGATTATACTGTTCAAGCGAACATTGCTACTTATATAAACAATCATATAAATAACAACAAACATATACCAATAACAAACCGCCTTAAACTTAAACTAATGGGAAAAGCAGATACTTTTTGTCAATACATTCAATCCATGGTTATACATGCAATAAACTTGGCAATCCAATCTGCTCGATTGACCAGTAATCGATAATCAATGAAATGAGGTTAATGCGGGTTACTTACTTTATAAACATCGTGTGTAGCTATAATACCATCAAAAGTTGTGTACAAATCATTTAATAAATCAACCACCTATAACAAACAAAAGGAATGGTGTTTAATGTATAGTCAATACAATGATTCGGGCAGTTTAAGGCTGGCCTTTTTTCTATGGTCATGTTTACAATGCTAAGGCGGAGAACTTGGCAAGGGCAGTGGCGTTTCCATATAGTCCTCATCGAATTCGACCTCTCAAGGGTCCATATGCGTGCATACCAACGTATACATGGGTGGGTCTAGGTTTTTCGCATCTTGTGAACAACTAGATATCACTTTACATGGACAAACGGGACCCTGCTCGGTCCTAACCGGGATTACAACTCCGGACATCATAGAGATTTACAGAAAGTTGTAATCTGCAAGAAGTATTGTCGAATTTAGTGGCCTTCCGAATTCGTACTGTGGATTCCAGATGTATTAGCCGATGATGATAACCCTTACCTGTAGTGGTTCACTAATACTAGCTAGATGTGTAAAGCCAACTATATCAGAAAAGAAAATGGACACCTCATCAAATGTTTCCGGTATTACTGGTCGACCTAATTTAAGTTGCTCTGCTACGGCGCTGTAAAAAGAAAGTTTTATACATATTCAATACATCCACAAGGTAAAGTTATGATCAATAACTAAGCAAATGTACATACAGTACCGGATTTACCGATAGTCTTGGCAGGCTGAAGCATAGGCCCCAAGAAGTATACGGGGTCTCCAGAAGATGTATAATATTACAAACACTGTGGTCTTAACCACCCGTCTTCATCCTCGGCTTTGATCGCTTGTGTTTAAAACACGCTTTCATATACATCTAGTAGTGAGGGTGGGGAGGTTGGGAGGAGCCTCATAAATGGAATAACATAGGGCATCTCCTCATCTAAATCCGACAATGTGTAGATACCTTTGGACAGGGGAAGTGCGAGGGCGGAGACCGATTCGCGTTTTTTTTCTATAGTTACCTGTGCAATGCGTAAATGGTGGGGGGGGGCGGTGTTACGGATTGTTCAGACGAAGCCGGGAATTGAACTCGGGACATTCTAGGTTGTATTCACGTATGGCACCCACACATTACTATAGCAGTCAAGATGTGATTTTCAGAAATAATTTATAAATAATAAATATAAAGACTCTCAGATCATACATAAAAACGTCTAAATTCTTTTCCTAAACATGCTTTTGATTTGGTGATGCCAACGTGTTTTCCCTAATGCCAGGTTCCCACTGTCGTGCGATGCGTTAGGCTATGATTGTCCTGTGGAGTCCACGATCTGCTACTTGCAGATACGATCGGATACATTTCGATAGGGCCCAAATGATTCCTTAAACTGACCTCAATCTACGATAAGACCTGATAGGATCACCACAATTACTCCACGATTAAAACCGCGATTTTAATCGTAGCACGAATCGTGATAGTGGAAACCTAGCATTAGGGAAATGACTATTGTGGCTATAAGGGTTATTTCGTGTTTTGTTTTATTTTTTAAAACTTACGGGGGTAGCATCTGACATAAAAGTCTTTCAGTTTTTAATTTTTCTTGTGCGAGTTCATCTGTTCTTTCTGCTACAAGGTCTTCTAGATTATTACTATAAGCTTCCAATAGTTGAATCATATTATCCATTATATTAGTTTTCCTGAAAACAAACAATGCATGTAAATTGTTCTAAATGTCAATTAAATAAGGAGAAGTCAGTCTCTATTTTAGCAATGCCATTCTTTATGCATGCAACTCTGCACCAACAGGGCTTATGACGAAGAGTCATGCGCCAGGCAATGTACAATGAATAAATGAAATTATTGTGTTTGCCAGGATTGTGGGGTTTCCGCAACGTGTAGACGGAATCTTGGTTTTTCGTCCAATCCGAACGACCAAACGCTCTTTATTGCAAAGCCCCACGTCATGTCCTACACCACCGACAAGGGAAAATCATGCTGGAAACCCCCGAGAAACGTTATCAGTCAACACCGGGATCGAACAGCAGATCTCCTCGTCGTTGAGCTGTAGCCTTACTCCCGTGGCCCCACAATATAGGGAATAAACAGGGAATCTCTTATGAGTCCTTTTTGATATGAAAAAATATCAACACAAGTCGATAATGTAAAAATGAAAGAGGCTTTGCACATTTTTTCATATCAAAAAAGACGAGTAGAAGATTTTATTTATCACCCACACAAATCAATAAATGTAATTCATTAGATAGATGTATGGCGATATCGCTCAGTAGAACATAAACGTTATCACACAAGCGATATCTACTGTGTTATTGGGTAATAAATTACCTTCCGCCATTTAAGTCTATTAAATGCTTTCTAATTGATCTAAAATCTGGACGCTGAGCAGCATCTTCATTCCAACACCCTTTCATTAAATTAACAGCAGAATCATCTGGCCTACAATCTGAGGGTATAACAGGACGGTACAGTGGCTCCGTCTTTTCCTTAACCTTTTCAATAATATCTGAAATGTTGATATTAGAATTCTAAAAAACTATTAATATAAAATGGGTGTTTCCTGGAATTCGCAATCAACTTAAACTAGATATTCCTCATGCTATACATCGACTTTCAGATCATAGACTATTTTCGAAAATAATCCCAAAGCAGCGCTTTAATAATTGATGCTTGTCAAATTGTTCTTCCACCTTGTCAATATATAACCTTATGAATTAAGCCTTCTATTAGTCCCACTGACAATGTATGAGCATGTGAAACAGAAGCATTTACAGACATATTCCCTCATTGGGTGAAGAAACGTTTAAACTCATGTAAATTTATGCATAAAAATACAAATATTTCGATGATGCCATAATAGTTGATAATGTGTTTATGTGTATAAGTAAGATCATTGTAATAATAAAGTGTGTATGTGTATAAGTAAGATCATTGTAATAATAAAGTGTGTTTGTGTATAAGTAAGGTCATCGTAATAATAAAGTGTGTATATATATAAGTAAGATCGCTGTAATAATAAAGTGTGTATGTATAAGTAAGATCGTTGTAATAATAAAGTGTGTATGTATAAATAAGATCGATGTAATGATAAAGCGTGTAATAAAGTGAGATCGCTGTAATAATAAAATAAACAACATAACTGAGAATGTAACCAAAGTAAAACAAAGTTATGGGTATTTACCTGTGTACGGAAGGGTGTTGTAATAATAAGGTAAACAAGATTCAGAGTATTTACCTGTATAGGTATGGGTATTGTAATAATAATGTAAACAACCTATTACAAATTTAAGAGTATTTACCCGTATAGATAAGGGCATTATAATAATATAAACCACGTAACACAACTTTAAAGGCATTTTACCTGTATATGGAAGGGTGTTGTAATAATAAGGTAAACAACGTAATAAAATTTCTTGTAATATTATAGAAAAACTATAAACATCGCCTTTCTGACTTCCTTTCTTCGGTATTTTACTCATTCGTAATAATTCTGGTGCTGTCCACAGCAAACCTACAATGACATAAAGGAAACCATTTTAAGCCACGCTAATTAACAAGGTTTATTTCTCCATCGGTGTGTTGAGATAACCTGACAATAATTTATCTATTTATCTCATGATTCTTAATATGTCGTTTCTTAGGGCCAAGCAGCTTTGCTTAACACGATACTGGTGAAACAGTACGGAAAAATGTCATTATAGAGTTACTAAAATTCAACTGATCAATTCTGAATTATCACAATCCAAGCAAAATATCTAACACATTTGGTTGAAATGTAAAAATGACGGAAAACATGAGCAAACAGATACGGTTTTGAGATAAAGTGTATATTCTTACGTTTGCTATAAGCTTGCTCGTCTTGTGTATCTGTTTTGTCGGTTTTACCCGTAAGGGCTCCAAAATCCGTGATCTTAACAACCCATCTACTGTCTATTACACAATTACTGGATTTTAAATTACCGTGAGACTTTAATGGGCATTTATGGATGTATTCCATACCCTGAAACAAAGTGATGCATATTATTATAAATGTATATCATTACTTATTTATGAATGTACGTTATGCCACGGAACAAAGTGGTGTAGTGTGGTTCTCCTGCACTTACTATTGGAAGGGTCGGTCCAGATTGTATGCAAAAACAATGTAGAGTGATATGTCAAAGGATATTCAAAGAAATTTTAAAGACCCGACAACGTTCCAGTTTCAGTTTCAATCATTAGTAGCTGCTCAACAGAAACTCAGCTATTGTCTAATTAAAAAAAACAAAGAAAGAAGAGTGATATTTTATATACCTTGGATATATCAATAGCGAAAGACATTTTAAACACCCAATCTAACTTGATATCATCGTTCTCTAGTACATCCTGAAACAATATACAAATCATTTTATGATCAATAGAACTCTCGATGGGCTCGTGTTGTAATTTGTTTTGTTTGTTTTCTTAAAAAAAATAACAACATATTTTAAAGTTTTAGATACTCTCGACTTGTTTAAAAATGCTGCAAGATACAATAATTATTAATTATACACTAATGAATTTAATCGAATCGACCGATAAAATTCTAAAATCATTATAATTGGTCTCGTGGTTCGATCACTAATGAATTTAATCGATTTCAAAATCATTATAATTGATCACGTGGTAGGCCGAGCAAGTTCCTCGGGATTTCCTAAAGAGATTTCCTCTTGTTGCAGGACATATTAGCGTCTAGTTTTTCAGATGGTATGAAAACCCGAAAACCCGAGGTCCCGTGTAAGTCTTGAAGGTGGAATTCGAAGTAACAGTAGACCGTATAACCGCTGTCCGAGTAAAATTTCGTTATGTCACGATGTATATCCGACTTCATCAGACCTGTGCGTGGAGAAAAGAGCGATAATAAATCTCATTTCATTGTTTTTCATGAATAACATGCCTTTGATAATATCTTGATACTGTATTATAAGGTATCGTAATCGACAAGGTTTATAGTTGGTCTTCTTAATTGAGCATTACATATTTAAGTTGTAACCATCGATTGTATTTATTGATCGTAATATATCATCAAAATACCCTGTTACGAACGATCATTTGCGTTTATCTCACTGGGATGTTACTTCTTTAAGTATAGTACTTACTCGTAGACTGCCTTTAGCACAGTATTTATATAAAATATAGCCAGTATCACTATCTAACCTAGCTCCTACAAACTGGTTTAAATTATCGTGACGTAATTCCATAATCTACAAAGAAAAACACAGAATAATAAGTGACATTGTGTGGTTTGAAATTAAAATGGAGTATTTGTATTTTAGGCATAATACAAGTTTACTTTATATCTAAATCACTGCATGAACCAAATAAATGATAAAACTAAGATTATTATGTAAAAATGACTTACTCTAGTTATATTTAATTGGATTTATTTTAATTTAACGAAATATCAAACCATGAATCATGTATAACTGTATTAGTTAAACGTAATATAAACCATGACTTACTATATTTAAATCGTCTATGATTGTATTAGTTTAACGTTATATTAAACCGTTATTTACTATGTTCAAATCATCTATAATTGTATTAGTTAAATGAAATATAACAATGACTTACTATATTTAAATCATCTATAGATGTATTTATGACAACATTAGTTAAATTTAATATAAAACCATGACTTTCTATATTTTAATCCATCTATTAGTTAAACCATGAAACCATGATTTACCATATTTAAATCATCTATAATTGTATAAATGTATTATAAAACCATAACTTACTATATTTAAATGCATCTATTAGTTAAATGTATTTTGAAGCCGTGACTTCCTGTATTTAAATCACCTATAGTTGTATTAGTTAAATGTATTATGAAACCGTGACTTACTTTATTTAAATCGTCTATAGTTGTATTAGTTAAACGAATTGATCGACCTTGTAGTTGTTTGACAGCTACGATAGAACCCTGAAATGATAATATGAATAAACGTGAGGGTTTTGAATGTGGCAAAGAATACTCAACCATTATGGAACACTGAATATCACTTATATATAAATACAATTTTATATTTTGCTACGGTATAACATCTCTAATATTATTTCGTTTTTGACTTGGTCCGCAATTTAAATATTCATACATCATCATATTTGTTTTTTAGATACAATAAAAACTTACTTTGAATTGCCCAACTGTTGTAAAATAGCGTGTTTTATCCAGACTCACATTTGAACCAAATCCCAACGTAGCGACCGTCTCCTGCAATTATTAGTAAATATTACATAATCATAAAATATATAATCAGTTAAATGAAACGAAATGAAATGAAATGAAATGAAATGAGGTTTAACGTTCTAATGTTCTGCTCCGACTGGACTAATGAAGACGGGCATACGCCATACAGTGTGCTACGAGAGAAAGTTTACCCAGACAGCGGCGCTACGACCTACTCTAATATCGAATTCCAACTGGCAGGGGATCTTTAACATGCACGCCAATTTTTCGTTCCGTCCGAACGACTATACTTTGTCCCTTGCCAGGCCCTCGGTTCTGCACAACTGACAAGAGGAAACCACGACGAAAATTCTCGATGAACTGTCTCGGTCCGTTTCATTCCTGATTCATTATCATCCATATCATGGATATTCAACAAAACCTGACAGAACACTCTTGTTCGATTCTAGACCAAGATGTAAACAAACAAATGTTGTGCAAAAGTCGGAAAATGGTTAAGATAAGGAACTGCTATAAATAGACGAATTAGATTAATTCATCAATAAAGGGGAAACAGTTTATAGTTTTAATCTTTCTGCAAGTTATGGGAAGATCGTGTGCTTAATAAGATTTGTCTTTCAAGGGAAACGATATGATGTTCTGGAGCTGGTTTGATTTGCATAAAGCGTTAAAGGGAAAATTCCCCAGGTTTCACCGGATAACCGTTTATAAAAGTAGAAAGATTGAAATAAAAACATTGAGCCTTTTCGATTTATTGTTATAACTGTATGCGTGGCCAGACAATTTGGACGACAACTTTTTACCATAACGTCAGCAAGCATTGTAATGGGTCTAGGATAAAAGTGTCTAAGAGGCTTTCTGCCAGTTTTATTCGGAAAATTATATTGATACTATTATAGATTAATTTGTTCTTCTGAAAGTTGTCATTGTTTCCATCCTATTACGTTAAAGTAGCCGCGGTTGCTCAGTGAGTAAGGTGCTGGGTCACTAACCAGGAGATCAGGGGCTCGATCCCGGCGTTGGCCTCGAAAGCTCACCGAGATTTTCTAGTGTGGTTTCCAATTGTCAGCAGTGTCGGAGTGAGTGCCTGACAAAAATCCAGGATCCCGTGTGCACGTAAAAGAAACCTTGACATCTGGAATTCAAATTAATAGTAGGCCGTAGTGCCGCTGTCCGGGCAAATCTCCCTCATAGCACACTGCAGTAGCCCAGTCGGTGCCGAAAAGTAGGACGTTAAGACCTATTTAATTTCATTTATTATTTTGTAGTTAATTATACAGCCACTCACCATTCTAACTAAACGTCGTCGTTTTGGTAAATTGTTCTGTGTATTATTACTTGTTGCAGTTGTAGCTGGCGATATTTTTGTTACTTTGTCTCGTCGTAATTTGAGTTCCGGTCCATTTCTACCCCATAATCTGTTCACCGTCTCCTTTTTGTGGTGACATTTTCTGTTAATATATTAAACATAATGGAAATTAGCCATGTAAACTTCATAATTAAATATAAATATACAATGGCATCTGATGTTCAAGAAATATTTAAAATACTCTGGAGAATGAATGGTTGGGGAATAGAATCTAAATAGAAAGAAGGTTTATATGAGGCGGGGATGGGGGTAATTGCGTAGCTTGACGCTGATGGTGTTCATAACCCTAATGCCTCAAACCAAATTTGAATTGAAAACAATCCGTTAAAAACTGTAGGCACTATCACGTTCAAAAGATTTACAGAAAAGGACGCGTAACTCTGGAAGGGAAGGTAGCAATTGATAGGGTGCAAAAACTGTAGAGCGTTAAACTCTATTCTATGTGTTGTATATCAATCATATAATCGCATGGACGAGGTCCCTAGACAAACAGTTGAATCAGTACGTGTATTCTCTAGTTATTTAATATAATAGACGTAATGCTTTATGTGATTGTTGAACTGCGAAATATGAATCTATTTACGGCAGACCATAATCAAAATCATACTCTTGATAATGACTATGTTTAGCCCCTGAGTAACAACATGACTGCGGCCATGATGATTGATGAATATGTTAGCCGAGTTCAATAGACGCTTATTTGATACAATAACAACTTTATATCAAACATAATAAAAATCCAATTGTTTAGCGGCGTACTTTGTTGGTACGCCATTGTTTTACTTTTTGTCCAAATGTATTTTTGAACATTGATCACCATCAAACATATTGCTACAAATCAACTGCAAAGTTCCTAGTTTTGTTACTCCCCAGAAATGAGTAAGACGAAAGCTCGCTAGCCTGGAGGTCGTGGATTCGATCCCGGTGTTGGCGGTGAATGTTCATCGGCTTTTCCAGCGTGATTTCCCATCGTCAGTGATGTAGGGCGGAAGGCTTGACAAGGACAGCTGTCTAGTCGTTCAGATGGTACGTTAAACCAAGGTCCCGTGTACACATTGGCGTGTACGTAAAAGACCCCTTGGCAGTTGGAATTCGATATAAGAGTAGGCATTATGTCTGTATGGCTATGTACGTCTTCATTAGCCCAGTCGGAGCAGAACAGTAGGACGTTAAACCCCATTTCATTTCATTTCATGCACACACTCCTAATTCTTTATGGGTCCATTGTCATAAAACATGTATTTGCTCAGCTCAATTGTACTCAAATTTCAATCCGCTTTTGTTGATGCTCAAAGTAAATTATGCAATTCAAAATAAGATCAACCGTTTCCCCTTTGAAATATTATATATTACATCAATACGGTGCTAGGCGTGGGGTGAGTTTTAAGCAAAAATTGAGTAAAAAAGGTTTCATGACTCGGGGCCTCGTAATGTTTATTTTTGTATTGAGATCAACATACTCACTTGTATAATAAGACCATAAATATGATGACAGCTACAGTTGATAGAGTTCCTATTACAGAACCAATAATAACTCCTATGTTACCTACAACATAAAGTAATTATTATGTGGTAATATTACTAATGACCAAATAAATAATAATCCAATATTAATGTGCTTAGATGACATTAGCATCTAGTAAGTCGGATTGCATCACTATCCGAAATATGGGGGAAGCTCACTAGTCCGCGGGTTCATTAGTCCACCGATATCTATTATAGGGGTTGGGTTAGGGTTAGGGTTAAGGTGCACTAGTCCGCGGGTTCATTAGTCCACCAATATCTATTAACAGGGTTAGGGCTAGGGTTCGGATTATGTTTTTTGATACCCATATTTATATTATTTCTTATAGCGGCGGACTAGTGAACCCCTCTTCCGAAATATGGAGCAAAACGTTGTGTTATTTTAAAGATGCCTTCACACGTACAAAGTGTTTGATTTGATGATAATAATATGGTCTAGAGTCATATTTAAACTCATATTTAACGTTTGCCTCAAATCATTTTAACTGGAAGAAAAAGTACATTCTAGCTCTGCCAACTTCCGTTTCCATCGTTTAATCGCAAAGTCTGCAGTACGTTTATGTCTAGCCATTCGATCAACAAAACCAAGCGCCCCCTACACCATTCAAATTGACAACAAGAGACATGCAGGCCATTAGTGATACACTTAAAGTTTAGTCCTGTGCGCTCTTGATTTTCTGGTACGATTGAGTATCTCTACTTTTCATTAACATTGACCCTATAAATACTTTTGTGGGAATGCATCTTGAAAAGTAAACACAAAACGTTCAAGAAGTTTAAACAATTTCTCACAGCTTTATTCTGAATTCTAATTTTAAATTTCATTTAAATCCAATATTGGTTTACGATATCAGTGTTTCAAACTGTCGAAAGATAAAATTATCTTATGTAATGGGTTAAATCATTAACAATTTTAAATGCTCTTCTTCGATGAACATAATGGCTTACGTGTGAATTTTTTTTTTTTTCAACCGTAATAAATATTACATAATTTACATAATGTGTTTACTTCGTTTGTTTTGTTTGTTCTGTATTTCGAAATAGATTTTCTTTGTTTTCTAGTGTTATGGAGATTCCAGAAAAGATATCTCTGAGTGACGTAATCATTGACTGAAATAGTTATTTACATTAACCTTTACATTGTTCTTAAACCAAAACGGATACAGAGAGAATGTTTTTAGATCTCTTTTAGTGTGTGTCATGAATGATTACGTTATCAACTTACTTTCTGTGGTGCAACAATCCACGGGCAAAGTACCAGACGGCCAATCCATAACGTCAGAGATGTAATTATATCCCTCAGTGACCATACCTATGACTTGATGTTCATTATTTTGGTAATGGATGATACTAAAACATGGCTCCCTGACTCCTCTATCGTCATATTCAGCAGGACCAGTAAGGAAATCGCTGTCATCTATGACAAAAGAACAAAACTTCGAACATCAAAATGATTTGACTTGTAACGAAGACGTTTTAAATACGATTATGATATTGTGATAATCCCCCAGTCGCTAATCTAATTATTGCCTGTTGCCTTCATTGATTTGTAATACATTAACCGTCCTATCAGTACATTAACCTGGTCAACACGCAAGCATGGATAACGACGTTAATCCCAAATATTGTTTTTATTAATTTATCAATCTGTGTAATCCATTAACGCTTGTTCATTTATAAACATGTTGATATTAATTATAATATTCACTTCATTTAACTTCAAATTTATTTCAATATCCCTTAAATTTAAAGAAATGACACGTTTGATATCGCACACTGCTGTAGATATTGGATATTAACTGTAGTAGTGGTAGAAGTAGTTGTTGCTGTAGTTGTGGTAGTAGATTTAGACGTAGACGTAGTAGTAGTAGTGTGTTAAAAAACTAGCTGGGTTCCATAACTTAGTTCAGCAACTGACTGATAATACCTTAATACGTATTATTTATGTTCAAGTATATATTCAGACTTCAAGAATCAGTCGATGTTGGTTAAACCCGAAGAATAATATTTGTATTTGAGCTACAGTAATGTAGGATAACCTGAAAATGGCATATTTGTCGATATCCTATACCCTATAGATTTCACGGATCAATTGTATATGATACATATCATAAACCACATAAAATAAACCTCTGACATTAATGTCAAAAGCAATTGATAGCTTCCCTGCTAGTTTTAATACACGTCCTAGACATCCGTAAACACAGATTTATATGTGAATTGATCTTTTAATACACCACTTTCACTGGATGTATTTTCACTATAGTTCAGTTCTTTCCGTTAAATCCGGAACTAACAAATTTGCATACCACTAAAATATCAATGGTCATTAAACGTTGAACTAAGACATTTAATTCCTTTAAAGGGTGCACCAACGAGTAATCAGTCTCGGCTTCTTTTTTTGGGCGATAAATATTCCAAATTTAAAATTATTTGCTCTTTCGAACACAGAATACCATTCGAAAAATTACAAATGTCAATCGTCAATCTCCATCAACACAGCAAGCGTCAAATGCGTCAGTATTATGAACACACAAATGCTATCGACGAATGCATTAACAACCACAGGCTGTGTTTATAGGTCCTCCCAATATACCGTGTAAAAAGCGATCGTTGATCGACAAACGTAAATGTCAATTCATTTGATAAAAGAATAGAAGAGTGATGACTAATTCAATTCCTGACGATATAGAGATGTTTTTAAATTTTAACAACCAATTAAAATATAAAAACACGCTTTTATTTTATTGTTAGAAACCACTATCCTGAACTTCCTGCGAATATGTTTTTCGGGTCTGGTTTTAAAAGCTTTCTATAAGTACAAGCTATCACCGGAAATCAGAATATTCCTGCAGTATATTTCTATAAATATGGACGATGCAGCATAAACAATTAAGAGGTGGCATTAAAGTGAATTATTATGGGCCTGTAAGAATAGGGCACCCGCATTTTATCATTCGAGTTTTAGTTTGCGCTATCGTACATTGGGTATCAGTCGCGACCTTTACGCGTAGAGATGTACATAGAGTATTTTAATTGGTCAGTAATTTTAATATGGAATACTTCCCGTGTATATTTGTCTGCGATATAACCTTTTTTGGAAGTAAAACCAATGTAATGCTCCAACCCTTAGATACTTCATAATTGAAAATCTAGGTTACAATATGCTAAGATGGGGTTATTCCAAATTTAACGAAAATCCAGGTTACAAAATGGCAGAGAAAGGGAATTCCATATTCAACGAAAATCCAGGTTACACTATGGTAGAGTAAGGGAATTCTATATTTAAAGAAAATCCATGTTACAATATGGTAGAGTAAGGGAATTCCAGATTTAACGACAATCCAGGCTACAATATGGTAGAGTAAGGGAATTTTATATTTAAAGAAAATCCAGGTTACAGTATGATAGAGTAAGGGAATTCCAGATTTAACGACAATCCAGGTTACAATATGGTAGAGTAAGGGAATTCCGGATTTAACGAATCTAGACATGCACACTGGCTAGCGTATGAGTATCGTGATTAGTGGTGTTGCTATCGCTGTGTGCAGTTTAGTATCAGTTAATTTTAAATAAATTAATTTACTACATACACAATCCAGTTTATTACCAAATAACACAATTTGGCGAAGTCGAAAGCGGGATAATGGATCGGGAATTGCTGATTCCTTTCGAATTATTCCTGATCTCCCGATTTAATGATATTACCGCCTAGAAGGGGATAATAATAACGAAACAAATCGGTCCATAAGGAACTTAACGGCAGTCCGTTTTTTCCCATTCGGTACATTTATAACCTCAATCATGTAGACAAAAAGGTCCAATATTTCAGAATATGCGAATCTTATGGTGTGACGCATTTATTTTAGTCAGCTTACAAGACCCTAACCCTCGTGAAACATAGGTTCACCACGCACACTTAAATCCAGGGAAAGTCGAGATAACTCCACAAAAAGAAAATAATAGTTGAAAATATTATGAATAACTGAGCCTAAAATATACGAATTTAACGTCCACTCGGGACAAACTAGGTCATTTCGGGACTAACACATGGTTCAATTTTATTTCAATAGTTCGCTTGCGCTTAGGGTTCTATATCAGTGTCACGTACATCCGAGGAAATCGAAACCACCCCAGTTGACTCAATAACAGACCCTATGATGCGACGCACACGCTAAACATTTGGCCATCCACCCCTCTCCTTCTGGGCGTTTTTATGACAGCATAAGCTAAGGTCGAAAAACGAACACGAAAACCAAAAGGAGAGTCCTTCAGCCCTGATGTACGACGATAACCAATACTCAACTGCTTGTCAGACAATAGCGTGATCTATACAAAGAGGGATAAATCAATAAGAATCACTTTTACTGTGTTGGATAAAAGACAAAAGATTGACTAAAATAGAATCATCAAGGTTCTAATTACTCTTTTGTTAATCAATTACAATCAATCATATAATACTCTATTGTGAGATCTATAACAACGCAACCAAACAAGCACCGTTATATCTTAAATGTACACATTCGCGTAAATATATACGTCACAGGCCGTTCTTAATTTACATCATGAATTTAATTACAATTGTATTTTTAGCTACGCAAAATTTTCAAATATATATCAACGTGCGCTTCCACCCAGGGTGATATCGCAGACAAGTTGTATTTTTGTTATCTTAGCGCACGCGCAGGGATCTTTCCTTAGGAGGAATGCCAAACAGTAAAATACTCATCGCCCAACGCTCCTTTTGGGCAGTAGCATCGAAACGTTGGAAAATCATCTCCTTTAAAACAAGGACGAGTTCAAGTTTTGGAATCTTTAAAAAGAACCTACTCCAAATGGCAACAATTCTTTCTTCCGGTTTCACTTTGGATTTTGTTCAACTTCTTTCAGGTGACCTAACCTTATAATGACCCTTGACCTTTGTATATATGATGAAAGTCATGTCCACTAACAATTAATATCAAAAAGTTCGGTCTTGAAGTATAACTTCTGGTTTTATTAAGAGTTCAAAATGACAGCTGTTTTCCACTTTAATAGGTATTGGATGTTACTATACTCAATAATGCATGGTGTAACTTGATTGTTGACGTGACAAGGCGTGACAAGGCGTGACCTGACGTACCTACACACGTCAGTACTCCTTCGGAGTTCTAGCTATTATTATTATTATAAACCAGATTACCCGGAGTACACCCCATACGCTCACACCATGGATCGAGAGCATGACCACAAGCCAGAGGTGACTGGCCAGCTGGATTTTGACCACTAGGCGACCCATTCCCCTCGTAAACACCCTTACATGAATACTACACTTGAAGTTGGATATTTGGTAGTCCTTATTACTCAGTCCGAATGTATATTAGGTTTGGCTGCAACGATTATTGGTCTGTACAAAGAATTGCCTATTTTGTGTATGGCAACTGTCTGCGTATACCGTTTACACAAAAGCGCATGGAAAGTGTAGTCCTCTTTACTTGAGATTCTTTCGTATAAGATTGATAGATTTTTTGCTCTTTAAATTAATAGCATTGTATTAATAATATATCTTTGGCTAATTGTTGGGTTCACATACATGTGTTGTGGAGAAGACATGTCTCACGCACTTCAATCAAAATGAGTGACGGATAGATACCTAAAAAGATTTATAAAACCAAAACATAGCCGATTTTAGGGTGAAACCAGAATATTATGTTTGTCACTTGTGTCGGAAAATTCCTATTGCATCATTAGCCATGTTTAGTTCAATCATATCAGTAATTGCACAGATCCAAGGTCTTGAATAGTCTGACCTCAGCGTGATAGGCTTCAGGGTCAATGTCAGTAGATCCCCTTGATTTGTAGGAGATCCATATCCGTCAGTAAACTTGATCTGCAAATTAGGGGTGGAGAAAAAGACTAAGTTAATTTTAAGTATTGTATTGTAATCTATGCTTGTAACTTATGTATCCAGAGATTAGTATAAAATGTAGACGCGAACTGATGCATTGTTATTCCTGGTAAGACAAACGTCTTAACTACCGAGATAGTAAAAAGAATATACACAACGTGACTCCTAGCCAAAAGAAGAGAATAAAAAATATAGCCAGAGATAATCTCGAGTATATTAATATATATAGCAGAAGAGAGTGTGCTTCACACGTTGGATGTGGGGAGTTTCCGGCTTACCACATCTAGCCAGAGATGCATAACACTAGGCATAATACTACACACCTCGATCGACTAATTATTCAGTCTGATCAGCCGCCATGATGAATCGATATTTCATCAAAGACAAAGTCTTCAGAAGTTGAAATTACTCAGTGATAAATGTACTAATATTATTATTTGTGGGATAATGATTGTATTATAATA